CCCCCCACAAGGGACGTGTCACGGGACGTTTTGCCCCTTTAAGGGCTTGGGGCCAGCCAGCCCTGTTCAGTTCTCAGCCCCAGCCGGGAAGGGGCAGGGGGTTTCTGTGGGGGGTGGAGGGAGCTCAGCTGCAGAAGGGGGAGGGGCAGGGGGTTGGGACTGGCCCTGGAGGGGGCAGGCAGGGCTCCTGCAGCCTGTTTTGTGTTACTTTGGGAGGGTTTTGTTTGAAGGAATAAACCAAGGCATTGAATCCCTCCTGGGCCAGGGAGAGTGGCCAGCAGCCCGACAGACCAGCGCCACAGCATCCCCCGCCTGTGCCCCACACAGAGCTGCCCCATTCCCCTGCTCCGCCACCCGGCCAGTCAATGGCAGGAGCTCTGGGAGGGCCAGGCCAAGGATCCTTTGCGATGGAGCCGAACCTGCACGCGCAGGGCGCCTCCTGCCCCAATAGGTTTGGCAAAGAGCACTTGTCCAAAGCAGCTGGGTGTCGGGGGCCACTAGCTCCCTGGCTGCTAGGGGCTGAACATGGCGTCTGGGGACGGTTAGCGCTTCATCTGCACCCCGCCCTCCCCGTGACAGGCTGTTCACCAGCCCCATTGACAGAAGGGGGAACGGGGACAAAGGTTAAGGTCAACATGTTCACCTGGGTATTTAGGCCGCGAAATACATGGCCTGACTATTGCAGTCTGAGCCCCTCCAGGCTATTCACACTTGGGTGCCTCGATCTGGATTTAGGTGTCTAGCTGGAGCTGGCTCTCCTGCTGGGCTGGGCGGGAGTCCCATCAGCGTTGGCCTTGGCAACACTGCTCCCAGCCAAGAACTGGTCTCCCTGCTTCCTCTAGACCCCAAGGGCGAGCCCTGGACTATGGACAACCTGGGAGCTTTAGGAGAAAACAGTGCCGAGCTTTCAGCGCTAGTGGCTGCGTTACGTTTACACACTCAGGGCTTGTCTATGGCTGAAACGCTGTAGGGGTGCCGCTGTAGCGGTTCGGTGAAGTCCCACCTACCCTGCAAGGAGGGGTTCTCCCATCGTCACATGCACTCCACTCCCAAGAGCGCTAGCCCCGTGTACACCAGGGGTTAGGTCGCTTTAACTGCGTCGCTCAGGGGAGTGGATTTTTCACCCCTCTGAGCAAAGTAGTTCAACTGACCGAATTTCCTAGTGTAGTCCAGGCCTTAGGGGATGTCTGCACTTCAAACGCAGCCGTGGGGCCACGCCCTGCAGCGAGGAGGGGGGTTCTCCCATCACTGTCGTTTATTCACCTCCCCAAGAGGAGGCAGCTAAGTCAATGGCAGAATTCTTCCACTGACCTAGCGCTGCCTACACCGGGGGATGGGTTGTCTAGATACAGGCCTACAGCCAGAGCTACACTACAGACTTACACTGGTATAACTGCATCGCTTGAGGGTGTGAAAAATCCACGCCCCTGAGCGCTGTAGTTACACCGACCTAGCCCGGGCAGACAGCGCTGTGTCAGTGAGAGCTTGTCCCGTGGACATAGCTTCTGCCTTGTGCGGAGGTGGATTAATCACGCCAATGGGAGAAGCTCTCCCGCTGGGCTAGGAGCGTCTTCACTTAAGTGCTACGGGGTGCAGCTGTGCCAATGTAGCCTTTTAAGTGTAGACCTGCCCTGCGTCTCTCGCTCTCGGGGGTGGATTGTTCTGTGCCTGAGAGACGTAGCTCGGCGCGATGTGAGTTTTCAGTGTAGCCCAGCCCGAAGTTCCCTATGACGTTCCCCTCCCCCCAGCGGGCAGGCTGGAACGCAAAGGGAGCAATGTCCCCATTGCGAAAGAGAGGCCAGACAGTGTCACTCTGGTGAGGGGTGGAGCTAAGGTTACTCATTAGCCCTTCTAGCTCTGCCACTTCCTGCCTGTTCAGCGCGCAGCCGGGCAGCCGGGCATTCTGGGTCACCAGGCTCCGGCCTCGCAGCTCCTGGAGCGCTTCGCTTTTCTCATGGTCGCACGATCCGCGGGAACGTGGCTGTGTCTGGTGCTTCCTCGCTGCTCCTCTGGTGCGTCTGCCGCGTCTCTCAGACACGCACCCCGCCCCACCCCACACTCAGTGAAATCCCTCCACCACCGTAGCTGGCTTCTTGATGGGCTGGCATGGGCGGACGCTCCTGTTGTGTCAGCTCTCTGGTTCCACAAGGGAGCTTAATTGCTTCTTTAACCTGACTGAAAGTGGCTGTCACGACCACCAGCAGCGTCAGTGAGGTTTAACCCAATCATTGACTCTCACGTGAAACAGTTAAGGACATTGCCATGGAGGTGTGAGCTAACCGTGCACTGAGTGCCTGGGACAGGTCTCCCCTGGCCGAGCAGTGCAGCCACAGACTGGGCTCACTGCAGGGTCTTGTCACGCCAGGAACAGCGAGGGACTCACCGTAATGAAGGCTGCGAGTCTGGAAAACAAAATGGCAGCCTCATAAAAATGTCACAGGTTAGCGAGCCAGCCCAGTGTGTGTGTGTGCTTGGGCAGGCGCTGGAGGCTGGTGCAGTGAGTGGGGAGATGTGTGTGAAGGAATGTGTGGGGTGCACATGGAGGGCTGTGGGGTGAGCCATGGCTGTATCAGTGGTCCCTACGGGAGCTCCACTAGTGCAACCCCCATGGGAAGGAGCTGCCTGGTGCAGCACGGTACATGCACACGGGGCCTGGCACCGCCATGGCCAGGTACAAATACCCTGAGGGGAGGCCCCAGGGGCTCACGTGGCTGCTCTTACAGATCGGAAGTTAAGCGACGTGCGGATCAAGTTTGTGGAGAGCGTGAGCAAGGCCGTGATCAGCACCCTGCTGGACGACCTGCTGGAGAGACAGGTGCTGAACGAGGAGGAAGTGGAGGAGGTGAGGGAGAGCTACAGTAAGAAGAGTGACCAAGCCAGGTGCCTGATTGATGGGGTGAGGAAAAAGGGTGCCAGAGCCAGCGAAATATTCATTGAGCGCCTCTGCGTCAGAGATGTCCACCTGGCCACAGAGCTGGGGCTCGGAGCCCCCTCGGGTGAGTGGTGCCACAAGGGCTGGTTCTCCAATCTCTGTGGGGCTGCACGCACGGGACACCCGGCTGGGCTGGGCAGGGGTTCTCCCATGGGCACTGGCCTGTGGGAGCCCCACTCCGTGCAGGGTTCTCTCCCCTTCCAGGGCGTGCGACATGCTGCTGCCCAGGCCCATGTTTCCCACTCTGGGCAGAGCCAATGCCACGGACGTGCCCTGCTCTTTCCAAACACAGGCTTTGGCTGCACTGGGATTCCCCGGACCCCTGATTCCCAACAGGGCAGCTAGAGAGGCCAGGCTGACCCACCCCTCCCTGCTGGGCGTCAGCAAAGGACTGAGCAGCTTCCTGCCCTGAGTGGCAGAGGTGCTAGCACAGCCCCATGAGCGTCCTGCTGGGGACGGGGTTCCTCACGCTGGGATCTCCCCTTGGGGCGAGGGCTGGGCAGCAGCTGAGCCGGGCCCCACATGCTGCCCAGAGTGCGGAGATGCTGCCCTCCTTCCAGAGCAGGGTACCCTGAGTCCACCCACCACGTTCCATGACCCTGTCACTCCCAGGTGCACAGTGGCAGTCGAGGGGCGATGGAGAGGGACAACTCAGGCTGTCTCTGCTGAACGCGGGAGACTCCCGGAAGTTGGACAGTCACGGCCCTGCCTATCTCAGCCCCCCAGCAGGCCGTGGTTCTGCCCTCGCCAACCCACCCCATCGCACTAGCCAGTGTGGAGGGGTAGCCGCCTCGCCTTGCTGCTCCCTGTTCTGCGTTTCTCCCTCTGCCTTTCCCAGGGGGGATTTCAGGACAGCACGTGTGGCTCCCAGCTACTAACTGCCTCCTCTCAGCTAACGCAGGGTTTATGATCCCAGGGACTGCTGCAGAAACCCAGCCAGCGCCATCTCAGGAATGGATCCAGCCCTGCCCCCGGGAATTCGTCCAGCGGATCCAGAAGGAGGAAGCAAAGGAGGTGCTCTGTGCTGCTCCCTTTGGGCTTCTCCCATCGGGTGCATGCGGCAGAGACCCCAGAGCTCAGGCACAGCCTGCTGGCTACAGCCAGGTTTTACCTCCAGCATGGCTGTGAATGTGTACAGCATCAGTGCCATTGCACCCCCGATGGGGCCCCAGGACCGGGGTGCAGGAGGGGTGGAAACCACCCTCCTGACAATTTTGCCCCCCAAGCCCTACACCTTTGTCTGTACAGTGTGGAGCCAGAGGAGAAGTGGCTGGTCTCGGCGGTTTGACAGTGTTTGATTTTAGCTGCACGGAGACTGCAAGTTGCCCCTTCCTGCCAGATACCTTTGATTGCTGCCTCCAATGCCAGATCAGCTGTGTGGTGTCAGGGAGGGGGGAAGCCATGGAAGCAGCAAGATCTTTCTGAGCCCTCCAGAGGTTACCCGAGCAGTTGGGGAACAGTCCCCAAGAGGAAGCTAAGCTTCTCCGTGATGGTCGTGAGAGCGCTGCAGGCTCCTCTGTGGAGGGCAAGGTCCAGCCAGCCCCACGTGATTAATCACAGGCAGGTTTGCTTTATACACCGAAGACCAAGATCATCCTCATGCTCCAACGGCCCCTTAAAAATGCTCTGAAGGCAGGAGCTCTGGCCCGAGGCAGCACTTTCCTGGGGTTCTGCGCAGCCTCACGGACTCGTTTTCGCTAACAGACCCCATTAGAAACCGCCGCACACACTAGCACTGCAGTAACGCTTCACCAGCTGACACGAACTCCAGTCAGAGACCACCCATTCTCCACCACCTGGCTGTGCAGACGTGGGGATCGGGCTGGATCCTAGCTCTCCCCACTCAGCCTCTGGCCCAGCTGTGCCCAGCTGTTTGGCTGTAGTGGCCCCAGCTATGTTTCTGGCTGTGTGAACAGTGTCATACGGGGACTGGAGCTAAGTCTGGCTGCATCCACCAGGATGATATAGACCCTTTCCCCCTCAACAACAGCCCCCATGAGAGAGTACTTGGAGGGCGCCCTCTTCCTCCACAGAGACCTACTGCCCAGGGGCCATGGGACAGTCTCCTTGTAGGGATGCTGAGGGGCATGGAGCAGAAGGGGGTCCTTGGTAATTTGAGGAGTGGTATCTAGAGATGTGGGTAACAACCTCCCTATGGGTCGTGGCTCCATTCTGCCACGTGCACTAAGCCCCCGAAGTGAGGGCTGCGTCGTGGCCGGCCCAGCATGAGTTTTCCTTTCTTACAGATCTATTCCATCCTGGACAAGGCGACGCGAACCCGCCTGGCCCTCATCATCTGTAATGTTGAGTTTGAGCATCTCCGCAGGAGGGACGGGGCTGACGTGGACGTGAATGGGATGAAGAGGCTTCTAGAAGGGCTGGGATACAAGGTGGAAACTCACTGCAACTTGAACTCCCAGGTACAGGACCTCCCCAAGCCACCAGTGACTGCCCCAGGCCCCTGGGGAAGATGTTGTGACCTTTGCTTGGTTCATTCCTGGTTCAGTCCCCCCTTGGCAGGGGTCTTGGGGCTGGTTCCTTCTAGGAGCTGCCAGTAGGGGGACGTCAGATCCCTCCCCAAGCCCTCTCTGGGACGGGAACACTCTCTCCATGGAAATCCTCCATCCCAGAGGGCACTGGCTGCTGCCGCTGGAGGTCTTACCCCACCCCCAGCGGTGCCCTCAGGAGTAGCAGTCATTCTTCTGGCTGCTGTTCACTGACACTGCTGTCCCCGCGTTGCTTTCAGGCCATGGTGGAGACCCTGAAGCAGTTTGCTGCTCGGAACGAGCACCGGACCTCGGATAGCACCTTCCTCGTGCTCATGTCTCATGGCGTCAGGGCTGGCCTGTGCGGGACAAAGAGCCAAAGCGAGTCCACAGACATCCTTCCCATTGACACCATCTACAGCACCTTCAACAACAAGAATTGCCAGGCACTGCTGGGAAAACCCAAAGTGATCATCATTCAGGCCTGCCGTGGGGGTGAGCCTGCACTCCGGGACAGGGCGGGTGGCACCCACTGGAACAGGGGTGTGGGAAAGGGAAAACATGGCCTGCTCTGGGCCGTAACTGGTGCCCATGTTTCCCAGAGAACCACGGACAGGTGTTGGTGAGTGACTCTGCAGAGCTCCCTGGAGGCGGCTCCAGCCTCGCTCCGCTGCCCCCTGAAGGGTTAGAAGATGATGCAAGTCACCAAATCCACGTGGAGAGCGATTTCATCGGTTTCCACGCTACAACGCCAGGTAACTGGCTGCCAGGAGCAGGCCCGGGGCTGGGGCTGTGCTGGGACATGCACAGAGAGCATTGGCTCTAAATTGGCTGAGCCCATGTATCCAGCTCTTCCTGAGACCCTCCGAACCCCGATCTGCTCTCTCTGCTCTGCTGATCTGCTCCCACCACGGCCTCCAATGGCCTCCTCCTGGCCAGTCCTTAGGGCCTCTACCCCAGCCTTGACCTCCCAGCCACTCACTGGGCACTGAGACACTGTCCTCTCCTACCACTCTGAACACGACCCCTTTTGGTGGGGCTGCCCCCGTCACTCTCAGGGGGTTCCCAGGCGCCCTGCCCTTGGCTCGTCTCCCTTCACACCCTGGACAGCCCCACAGGCCGCAGCTCTCATCTGCACGCTGATGGCTCACACAGCTCTCTCCATGCCTCGCCTGTCTCCTGACGTCCAATCCCGCCTCTCGGCCTGGCTCTTGGACATCTCCCTTCGGGGGTCTAAGTTCCCTCTAAGCTGCGCGTTGCACAGCAGCCTATCAAGGGCCACACAGGCGCTCAGGGCTGCAGCGGGGAGAGGCGCCTCTCCCCTGGCCTCAGCCCCAGACCTGCCACGGTGGGGAGAGACGCTCTCCCCCAGCCCCGGAGCTGCTGCGGGAGAGAGGGCTGGGGAGAGTCCTCTCTCCTTGCCGCGGCCCCAGGGCAGCCTGCATCCCCGGCACCACCTCAGAGCCCTCACCCCCACCCCCGTACCCAACCCTCTGCCTCAGTCTTGAGGCCCCTCCCACACTCCGAACCCCTCGGCCCCACCCCCGCCACACACCACTTCCATATTGGTGAACATAACAAAATTCATTCCGCACATGCATGGGAAAAATTAGAGGGAACATTGTCGAGTGTCCTGTCATCATCTTATCCTGAACACGGCCAAACCCAAACACCTTCCCTTCCCTCCCAAACCCTCCCCCTTCTCCACCACGGTCGAGAGCCCCCAGCCCCTGTCACTCAGGCCAGCACCGTGGGGGCTATTTCTGACTCCGCCCTCTCCCTTGCTGCCCATCCCGGCCATTTCCAAACTCTGCTGCTTCCTCCTCAGCATCTCCAAGATCCCTTCTTTTCTTTCCATTCCCACACCAGATCTCTAATCCAGGTCCTGACTGCTGCACCTGCCTCCCGCTGGCCACCCGGACGCTCCCTTTCCCTCTGGCCCATCCAGAATCCAGCGATAGAGCCACCTTCCTTCTCCATCCATCTGATCACGTCCCTCCCCTGGCTCCCTGTCCACTGTCACATCACCTTTACGTCTCTGGCCATCTCCCCCAAGGCTCTCTAGGGGCTGGGGGAGAGGCTGGAGGTTTCCCCACACAATGAATAGCTGCTGACCTTTGAATGGCCACCCTTGGGCTTCGCAGTCAGGGCCCCCGGAAATGAGCGTGGCTCACATCACTCCAAGCACTGCTCTCCAGCTCTTTGCAGACATGTCTGCCCTGCTTTCACTCTGCCACACTGGGAGGCTTTCTGCACAGCCAGGAGGGCTGGAGGCTAAGTTCCCTGTAAGCTGCGCGGCCACACAGCCGTGCAGCAGGCTGTCAAGGGCCATGCAGGCAGGGAGAGGCGCCCATCCCCCGGCCCGGCCCAGCCCCACTGGAGCTGCCAGGGAGAGGCGCCCCTCCCTTAGCCCGCCCCAGCCCTGGCACCTATCACCCGGCCCTGAGCTGCTGCAGCGAGAGAGGGCTGGGGGTAGTCCTCTCTTTCCCCACCACAGCCGGGGCAGCCTGCACCAAACCCCCAGCCCCACCCCAGAGCCCGCACCCCACCACACCCCAACCGTCTTTCCCAACCCTGAGCCCCTCCCACATCCCAAACCCCTTATCCCCAGCCCCACCCCAGAACCCACACCCCTAGCCGGAGCCCTCACCCCCTGCCCCAGCCCTGAGCCCCTCCCACAATCCGAACCCCTCAGCCCCACCCCCACCACACATCACCTCCATATTGATTCACATAACAAAATTCATTCTGCACATGGATGTAAAAAATTAGAGGGAACAGTGGCTGGAGGCCTCTTTTGAAAGCAAAGTTTAGATGCTGGAGCACAAGCCGCTCACCCAACTGTCTGGAGTCAGCCCAGGCCAGCCCGTGAGCCAGGAAGTCCAGAGGCTCATTCCTGACTGCACCTACAGCCGGGAGCTGCACTCCGTCTCTAGTAGCCTCTTGGCCCCCTGCTGCGTATCTAGCTCTGCAGAGAGGACTCACTAAACTGGATTGAGCAGAGCCCGGCTTGACAAAGAGTGGGTGTAGCAGGGTGTGGTATTGCAGTGCAGTCAGGGCCCACAGACCTGGATTTCCTGCAGGAGAGCTGTGACCCAGAGACCTGGAATGGGAAGCCCTCTGGTTAGCGAGCTTTCCAGAAAGCCCTGCAGGTGACGGTCCCTCTCTGGGATAACTGGAGACTCAGATCTGTTCTGCTTTTGCCCTTTCCATTTGTTCTCTGGCCTGTGCTGTACAGGAGATCAGCAGTTCCCCAAGTGGGGTCCACAGTGGGTTACGCGGGGGTCCGTCCCTTGAGCCAGGGTCGGAATATGCCGGAACAATGTTCTGGCACTTTTGCTGCACGGAGGAGGCCATTTTGAGACCAAAACGGCATCCTCTGTGCAGCGTGACCACACTGTGTGTGGGAGGTCGCACTGGCAGGATATTCTGCTAGGACTGGGAATGAAAGGGGTCCAGGACACTTAGTAAAATGCCAAAGGAGTCCTTGTCGGAACAAAGTTTGGAAACCACTGGCTCAGATAATCATAATGGCCCTGTAGCTGTGTGGCCACCTACTGCCCCCCAAGCGCCTTCTCCTGGCTGGGAGTTGCTCTCCAGCCTCTTGCCTCTGTGGCCGTCCCGTCTCTTCTGCAGCCATTGGCGAAGTCACAGTTCACAGAGTAATTCAAACCCAAAGGATCCTGTTTATTGAGCCTCCGGTGCACATTGGCCCCCGACTGCAGTTTAGGCTCCCTCTCCCAGCATCTAACACAAAGGCTTTCCAAACAAACCACAGCCTGAGGCCGGCTTCTCCCCAGCTGTAGCTGGCCACAGCCCCCTCCTCCTCGGGGGTCTGTCCATCTCTCCCTACCTGGAGAGCTTTCTCCTGCTTCTTGCAGGCTCAGTCACTTGCTCAACCTGCAGCTTCTGGCTGCCTTTTACCCTGGGTGGGACCACTTGATTCCCCCCAGGCGTAGCTCATCCTTGTCATCAGGGCTGGCTTGGCCTCCGGCTCTCCAGCCCCTGGGCAAGCCACCCTGGTACAGGCCCCTTCTGGCCTGAGCTAGGAAGGGGTCTGCTTGGCATAGCACTGTGTCTGTGGCAATCCCTCACAGCCCTCGATCGCCAATGAACCATCTTACCACCCTGACCCGCCTCTTCCTCTCCCCACCCCGCAGTAGGGTGACCAGATGTCCCGATTTTACAGGGACACTCCCGATTTTGGGGTCTTTTTCTTATATAGGCTTCTATTACCCCCCAGCGACTGGGCCAGAACCGCTCAGCTTTGCCCTCCTAGTCATTCCTCTTCTCTTCCCTTAACTTCAGCCTCATTGAGAACTCCCAGCTGCTCTGTGAAGGGTGAAATCCCTTTGCCAGCCCCAGCCCCCACATCTCCAGTGTCTGTTGTAGTCTAGAGGAACAGAAGCAGCCCTACTCCACGTTGTGTAACAGCCTTTTGTCTCCACAGACACTTTGTCCTGGAGATGTCCAAAAACTGGGTCCGTCTTCATCACCCGTCTGATAGAGCATCTTCGAACCAATGCCTGCCGCTTCCCCTTGGAGGAGATCTTCCGAAAGGTGACTCCGTCCTTCCTGTTACTGGGGTTACTGGGAACACCCCCCCTGCTACGATCAGCAGTACCGCAGCAGGGAACTGTCCCCAGCCCCATGAGGAGCTCTGGCTGCTCATGCAAATCAGTCCCCTACAGGCATCCACAGTGCACAGTATATTCAAACATGCTCCGTGTCTGTTTGATCGGGGGAATCTTAGCAGAGTTCACAGCGCACGTCTTCAGGGCAATCTGAGAGGAGAGGCAATGGCCTGGCCGGACCCACAAAGGGACAGGTCTTGCAGTGCCGAATTGGAAGCAACCTGCCACCTAGTGGATTCCACACCCTGTGAGCTAGGCCCCAGGCTCCCTGTGCAGTGCATGGGGAGAGACAGGCTCCCGCAGGATGGGATCCACAAAAGCCAGCCCGATAGATGGGGAGCCACCTAAGCTGGCCAATGGAAGATGCCAATGAGAGGGGGGTGTACTAAGCCCCACCCCTCGCAGAGCCTTAGGCACCTAAGCCCAGGCTGCAGGGAGGTGCCTGTCTCTCCTTGTGACCACAGCCAGGAACCCCTCTGTGTGAGCTGTTTCTTGCAGGAAGAGTGGTGGTGCACCCCCCAGCTCCACCCCAAATGGCGTCCTCCCTCATAACTAAGGCTAAGAGTCTGTCACGGGTATTTTTAGTAAAAGTCACAGACAGGTTGTGGGCAATGAACAAAAATTCACAGACGCCCATGACCTGTCCCTGACTTTTACTAAAAATAACAGGGGGGGTCTGACCACCCGGGGGAGGGAAGCTCGAGCCCCATGGGGGGACACTGACAACCCAAGTGGGGCGGGGGGGATTCCAGCCCCTATGACAGCTGGAGCTGAAGCCAAAGAAGTCGTGGAGGTTTGTTAATCACGGAATCCGTGACAAAATTGTATCCTCCCTCAAAACCTTAGTCCAGTGGTCAGGGCTCCTCTGGGATGAGAGAGACCCAGCTTCAAGTCCCTCATCTGCTTGATAGGAGAAGGGGTCTCCCGTCTCTGGAGAAGGCGCTAACCACTGGGCTCTGGGATAGTCTGTTGTGGGGCTCCCTGGTCGCTCCTGTTGCAGCCATTCCACCGTGGCTAAAGAATTAGCTGGGCTGGAGACCGAGGGTGAGTGACCCTACGGTCAGAGCGCTCACCCTGTTCTAATCCCGTCTCCTCATCAGGCAGAGGGGGAATTGACCTGGGGTCTCCCACATCCTAGCCCTAACCAGGGGGCTAAAGGACACATCTCCCTGTTCTTGCCTCTTCCCCGGCTGTTTTGTATGGAGTTAGGCGTGCTCAGATAGGTGGGGGAACGTCTATCTCCACCTGGCCTGAGGATTGTGCTGAGAGTTGGGTGGGAGATGGGCGTTTGGACACATGGCCAGCGGCAGGAACAGAGGCGTCTAGGAGACTTTTCCAGTAGAAGTGTAGGTGTCGAGTGAGTTTATGCGCCTACTGCTGAGCAGGAGTTCTGTGGGCCACAATGGTGCCTAAAATTGGGCTGCAGGTGCCTAAATCCCTTTGTGGGCCTGGGTCCCACCCCGGGAGTGGTGTCCTGCTGTGAAACTTCCCTCCATCCATCCCCACTCAAGCTGTTGTCCCAGAGATGGCCCAGTAACGTACATTTCAGAAATGAAAAATTTACTTACTCCTGCCACACAGCTGGTAAGTGCAGACCCTACAGCTCTGTTGGGAAGTGACCGCAGGGACATTCTCTGCATCAGTCTCACTCGCACAAATCACAGTGTTTAAGGCCAGAAGGGACCATTGCGATGATCTAGTCTGACCTCCTGCATAACGCAGGCCAGGGAACCTCACCCAATAATTCCTGCATCAAGCCCTGACCCTCTCCCCATCTTCTCTCCAAGCCTGCTGATGGGGGAAGGTTTTTGTCCATTTCTTCTCCCACCTGGGACCCTGGTTCCTCCACACTGTTCCCTCCCCCCTCCAGCCCCTTTTCCTTCCTCTCGCTCTCCAGCTGCCACGGAACCTTCCAGCTCCACCTGCCATCCAGCTCTCAGAGCCACTGCCCTGGAGAATTCATTCAGAAATGGTTTTGGTGATCACAGCAGCGTTCCTTGTTCTTGGGCCCAACAGGAGCAGCCTGGGCATGCCTGCCATGACAGACGGCAGCATGTACTGGGACATGCATAGCATGTGCGGTGTTTGTATCAGAGGTGGCTCGAGCATGCATGTGCTCTAGTGGCAGTAGAGGTGCAGCCTGGCTGTCATTATCATCATGCAGATTCCCAGGGGAACGTCTGCTCTTGATTCTGCCTATTCTCCCCGATGTTATTCAAGGTCCGGGCTTTCTAGTAGCAGTTTGGTTTGTGTTTAAAGTGCTGCCGGTGCCCTGGAATTGTGACTGATCTGACCTCTCCTCCCCATCTCAGGTCCAGCTCTCCTTTCAAAATTTTCCTCGTCAGATGCCCACCAAGGAAAGAACTACCATGATAAAAAAGTTCTATCTGTTCCCAGGCCATTAGAACCAGCCCCACAGTAAGTATCTGTTCTGGAGTCTCTCAACAAACATTTCTACTATGACCAGTAACTGCACGTGTTTTTAAGCGACGGGGCTCTCGTTCCAGACATATCTTGTAAATTCACCTTCCACTCTCGATTCCAGATTGCCCAGGGTCTGGCAGATCTAGATTCCACTTCGAAGGCAGCTTCTCCCCTTACGTTAGGGTTCAGGCGAGTTAGATCTCCCCATCCTCTGAACTGAACTAAAACCTTCTCTCCGTAGACACTGGCTGTTTGAAGGAAAATCCTGGATAGAGGAGTTCTAGTAGCCAAAACTTTCTGTGACTAATCTTCTCTTCTTAGAGCAGCTTTGTGCTTGAAGAAACGAGTGACACGTAGCACAGAAAGGGACTTTTAATTCTAGGGAGACACGGGGAAGCCACAAGACACTAGCCAAGCACAGTTCTGCCCTGAAGAGTTACACCTTTCCAGGAAGGAAGAGGAAAGAAGCAAGAGAAGAGGGAAACTCGGCATCCAGGGAGTGTAATTTCAATCCCTAGTGAAGCAATGTAATAAATAGAAAACGCTGTAATCCTCTCTAGGGCAATGGAACTCTGAGCAGGAAGCAGCATGGGGTGGAGGGGCAAATCATCTCAGACAAACAATAGCTTCTCTGAGACTGACCCGTAAAGGTAGTAGCGAATGGGAATGCAGCAGCTACAATATCTGGATATTAGTAAAGGGGGAGTTTATTACACTCTTAGCTGAAATGATCTCCCACTGGGCTGGATGTGACACTCCTTGGGATGGAAAACCGGTGGGAAGCTCAGGAAAGAAAGGAAATGATCAGCAGCAATGTATCCTGTGGGAAGAACAGTGTTAGATTTGCTTTTATCAAATATGTGCCGTTGTGAAGGAAGAGAGGGGAGTAAGTTGGCAGGAGTTGGGACCATTAACAGGGACATGCTCGATCCCAGGGTGTAGAAACGTGGGCAGGAAATAACAAAATGAGATTCATGGTGGAGAAACGCAGAAAATTCCTTTGGTGAAAAACCACCCAAAACAAACCCCCAGCCGGGAAGCAGCGCTGCTGAGCGGGAGCTTGGGGCTTTGGTAGCCAGGAGTTGTAGTGCAGTAAGCCAGTGATTTGCATTAAACACAGAGACAGCAAATGACGGAGCAAGGGCGAGTTGACCCTTTGCACACTCTAGCCTGTTCTGGGCACAGCATCACCAGCAAGGCACTGACCGATTGGAGGGAGTCACAGAAGAGCAAAAGACTGTTCATTGCGATAGAGGGCACCCAGAGTTCCGGGCACATGTCTAAACCCGTTGTAAACCCCATGCAATATACAGAGCAGACAGATGTGCACAAATACCCCTCTCAAGCTCCCCAAATTCAGCCTCTCCCCACCCCCTCCCCCCAAACCCCTGACCCTGGAGACCAGAGGCAATGGCCCGTTTACTGGATCAGACTGGGAGGCAGGGGAAGGGATACTGATGAGAACCACTGGGATGCAGAATCGCTGGTGGAAGAGCCAGTGTCTCTCTTGCAGGGACCGTCTTTGCTGAGGAAGGAAGTGACAGGACGTTCAGAGAGCTGCATTTATACTCAGCAGGGACCAGCCTTGTGCTCTACCCTGCTATGGCTGCCTTCAAGGTTATAATACCCCTAAGAGCTGAGGGAGTTCCCCAGGCTCACCCGAAGGAGCTCCGGCCCAAGAACGAGACTCCCGCATCCTTAGCGAATGCAACGTCCCTCCTGGGGAGGAAGAGCCACTGTATGGCCTGTGCTGCCGAGCTGCACTGGTGAACTGTCGCTCTTCTCTCTCCTCTCCAGATAAGCCAGCGCATGTCCCATGGGGGCCCTGCCGCAGTCAGCGTCTGCACATTCAACATTGGCACAAAGCTCAAGGTCTCTCTTCCTGCTGCCTGCACACTTTCCACCTGTGGCTTTCCTCTGAACTGCCAGAAGTGCCTTCAGCTTCTCACCAGCCCCTTCCCCTGCGGAAGTGCCTCCTCTTTGTGACAGGACAACGGTAGCATCAGCCTGGAGCTCCTGCTGCCACATCTCTATCAAATGGCTCTTCCTAGCGAGACAGCAGCACCCCCCAGCTATCTAGATCCTACAGCACTGACATCCCCGTGGCCCCGTCCCTGAGATCCAGTTCACACTCTGATCATTCCCTCCGGTAGCCAGACTTTGAGTCCCCGGACAGTCAGACAAGTGAGTCTCAGCCACATCCTTCTTGGTAAACAGCTGGAGTCTCCCATTAGGGATATCAACAGCAGGGGCGTCTTCACTGTAGTTAGCCCAGGCTCCTGTCCCCTCCCCTCCGCATACAAAACCCTCTCACCTGGGCTTTCCACCTGGGCTAGCTGCCCCAGCTGAGGGTGGCTTCGAGCGTGGTGCTGCTTTCACTGGGGCTGGGAGCCTGCCCACTTGGCCATGAGGATGCAGCTAAATCACTCCAGTGCTGACGGTGCACCTCTGCCTTCCCACAGTCCCCCCCCAGGTGCCCAGGACAGGCGCGTCCCACAAACGCGCTGGGAAAGAGTCATGCAGCGACTCACCTTACAGCAGCACAAAGAACCATGGGCTTTGCCCACAGTGCGGATGCAGTAACTTGGGCGGGGTTTTGCAGTGTGGCTGCTCACAGCCAGGTTAGACTAACCCAGTGCTCACACCTGGGGTGCTGATCACCCGGGTTGTCAAGGCTGCTTCCCCACTTTGAACTTTAGGGTACAAATGTGGGGGCCTGCATGAAAACTTCTAAGCTTAACTACCAGTTTAGATCTGGTCCGCTGCCACCATTCCCAAAGCTAATTCCCTTCCCTGGAAAGCCTTGAGAAACCTTTCACCAATTCCCTGGTGAGTACAGATCCAAACCCCTTGGATCTTATAACAAGGAGAAATTAACCATCCCCCTCCTTTCTCCCACCAACTCCTGGTGAATACAGATCCAAACCCCTTGGATCTTAAAACAAGGAGAAATTAACCATCTCCCTCCTTCCTTCCACCAACTCCTGGTGAATACAGTTCCAACCCCCTTGGATCTTAAAAACAAGGAGAAATTAACCATCCCCCCTCCTTTCTCCCACCAACTCCTGGTGAATACAGATCCAACCCCCTTGGATCTAAAACAAGGAAAAATCAATCAAGTTCTTAAAAAGAAGGCTTTTAATTAAAGAAAAAGGTAAAAATCATCTCTGTAAAATCAGTATGGAAAATAACTTTACAGGGTAATCAAACTTAAAGAGCTCAGAGGACCTCCCTCTAGCCTCAGGTTCAAAGTACAGCAAACAAAGATAAACACTCTAGTAAAAGGTACATTTACAAGTTGAGAAAACAAAGGAAAACTAAGACGCCTTGCTTGGCTGTTTACTTACAAGTTTGAAATATGAGAGACTTGTTTAGAAAGATGGGGAGAACCTGGATTGATGTCTGGTCCCGCTCAGTCCCAAGAGCGAACAACCTCTAAACAAAGAGCACACACAAAAGCCTTTCCCCCGCCAAGATTTGAAAGTATCTTGTCCCCTTATTGGTCCTTTGGGTCAGGTGTCAGCCAGGTTACCCGAGCTTCTTAACCCTTTACAGGTAAAAGGATTTTGGAGTCTCTGGCCAGGAGGGATTTTATAGTACTGTACACAGGAGAGCTGTTACCCTTCCCTTTATAGTTATGACACGGGTTAACTCTGCACTTATGGGCATACCCTAGGAAAGCTCATCTGCTGAACTCGGGGGGGAACATGGAGTGTGGCAGCAGCCGTCTCCTCCCGCTATCAGCGATTCACAGACCCCCTGGAATGGAAGGGGCCTGTGTCCGTTCCCCTTACAGCGAGGCCGGGTTAACTGAGCTCACTCCAAGTCATCCCCACTAGATGGCAGCCAGGCTGAGCCTTGAACAGCTGCTGCGGTGATTTCCCAACCTCACTGAGCTGTTCGCTGCCTTGTTCTCGTTCTCTGTAATTACAGGGCCACATTCTGCCCATTGTCAACTCCAGACTTCAGAGTGCCGAGGCTGCAAGTGGCCCATGACATTTGGGTTAGTGCTTAACCCACATTTCTCTGTTAAAACCTAAGCCCATTACTTCTGTCCCTGGCCCCAGCTAAGAGCTGATCCCTCTCCCCTCTGGAGCAGCCCTTTTTCTGCTTAGTGATGAGCGAGAGACACTCGTCTACACCACTGCAAGGCAAGAACATCAGGAAGGGAGCAGGGTTCCTTGGCATGATACATGGGGGGTAGAACTAGGAGTAATGGGGTGAAGTGATGAAAGGAGAATTTAGCTTTGTTGCTTTCTGGGCTACTCCTATGGCTGGGACGAGGAAGTAAGTGACTCCTCGGACCAGAGGTGTCCTTGCCCTTCTCCGCGGTTGCGCTGCTTCTGGGCACACTCTCTGGTTTCCCTGTCTCATTGCCTGTGGTTACTTTTATAGCTGGTTTTACCGTGTTCTTGAAAAGCGATGAGTGTAGGGACGGGAGCGGCGGTTTGGGGGGTTTTAGAGACATCAGAACTCATCTCGGGGCCATTTTAAAAAATACTTTTCTGTGCCTGTGAGCACCTGTTCCCAGGGATTGTTTCTGGCCATTTCCAGAGATGCCGAGAACCAGCAGTTCCCTTTAGCTCCAGTTCACCCATTTCATACATTCCAAGGAAAAAAGGGACCATTGTGACCTTGTATTGTGACCTCCCGTAGAGCACAGGCCAGAGACCTGCCCGAACATCATTCCTAGAGCAGAGCTTTGAGACAAGCATCCCGCCTTGGCTGAAAAATTGCCAGCGATGAACAATCCACCAGGACTATGGGTAAAATGTTCCAAGTTCAGCTGTGGGTGCTCAGCCCTCCTAGAAATCAAGCCCTTGGTGCCTCCCAGACCGGGCTGATTGTATTCCCAAAGCAGAGCTAGGAGGACCTGGGGCTCCATGCGCAGTATTTCTCCCTGAAACGCCAGCCCCTAAGGGACCATGAAGTGGTGCAAGGACATCAGCCTCTGCAGGGCAGGCTCCAGCGCAGCCCCCGCTTGGTGCTATGGCATTAGAAGCCCTAAACTGGCAGCTAAATCCCCAGCTGTCTTAACCCACTTCTGCTGCAACACCCAAAGAGTCATCCCAGTCCCTCTCTCCTGCCATCGAGGGGCTGCAAGGAACACTCCATACTCAGTTCAGTGCCTGCGAGGCCAACGGCTACAGCGTAGGACTAAGGTGGCAGAAAAAAAGGGAAGAGCTGGGGAAGGGAGCAACTGTGTCTGAACCTGAGGACCCAGGTATCTGCAGGTGTCTCACCCACAGAATTCCTTTGTACCTTGAAAATGGCTTTTCACAACGTTCTGCCAAGGGCCCAACATTCATGCACTGGCTTTGCCTTTGCGAGCGGAAGGGGAAGTGCCTTTTATTCCTTATGCTTTGTGTCTGCATCGTCTGACCCTCCCTTCAGATGCTGTTAGTCTCACGATCACTGGGCTGTTTCTCAAAACCGCAACCCTAGGGTCAGGTGAGTATGTGAGGATCTCAGGTTCCATTTGAAAATGAGATGGAAGTTTCTAGCTCTCCTGGGTGCAGAGGAAATCTCAATGTGACTCCCCCAAAAGCTCAATCCCCAGGAGACCCGTGAACAGAACCCCAGTATATTGCAACCAGTCTCAGGAATTTGGGGTGCCTGATGCAGAACTTTTGAAGGCTTGGCATTGGACAATACCAGGAATGATTTTAGGGTTCCCACAAACCTCTCCACCTTTGTCTGCACCCTGATTACTGTATTTCAGTGGGTCAGGCTCATTCTGTGGAAAGGAACAATTCCAGTTTCATGATGGCCCATGGTTTAAGTTTAGGACTCCACACTGCTCGATTCACAGCAGAATCCCACTCATTAGGAAGGGTTGGTTCAGAACCCTGTCACATTCAGCATCACTCACTAGGAAACAGGCTCACTCTCAGGACCACCATCATCTTTAACCTTTCTCCGCTCTGCATTTCCTTCCCTGGAGCAACTCCTGTCCCCTACCCCCTCTAACAATCCCAGCTTCTGGAAGTTGTTGGTTTAATGATACCCAGTACATGGGGTTGCGTCCCTGACCATCTTGGTTAATAGCCATTGATCGTTCATCCTCTAGGAACTTACCTAATTTTTTTTATCAGAGGGGTAGCCGTGTTAGTCTGAATCTGTAAAAAGCAACAGATCTGAAGAAGTGAGGTTCTTACCCACGAAAGCTTATGCTCCCAATACTTCTGTTAGTCTTAAAGGTGCCACAGGACCCTCTGTTGCTAATTTTTTTTGAATCCAGGTATGCTTTTGGTCTTCACAACATCCGATGGCAAAGAGTTCCACAGGTTGACTGTGCATTGTGTGAAGAAATACTTCCTTTTGTATGTCTTTAATCTGCTGCCTATTAATTTCATTGGATGACCCCTAGTCCTTGCGTTATGTCAAGGGTTAAATAACATTTCCCTATTCACTTTATCGATACGTTCATGATTTTAGAGACTTCTATTACAACCCCCTCAGACATCTCTTTTCTAAAATGAACAGTTCCAGTCTTTTTAATCTCTCCTTCTATGGAAGCTGTTCTGTACTCCCTACTCATTTTTGTTGCTCTTTGCTGCACCTTTTCCAATTGTATCTTTTTTGAGATAGGGTGACCAAAACTGCACACAGTATTCCAGGTGTGGGCGTACCATGGATTTATAGAGTAGCTGTGACGTTGCAATGATCACATGTCACTGCAAGACTTTATTGCCCACTTGCCAGCACACAGGTATACATGAAGACTTACAGGTAAAACACAGCCATCTACAGACAATTGTCCTGGTTAATGGGAGTCATCAAGATTCCAAACCACCATTAATAGCCCACACTTTGCATAATTACAATAGGCCCTCAGAGTTATATTTCATATTTCTAGTTTCAGATACAAGAGTGATACATTTATACAAATAGGATGATCACACTCAGTAGATTATAAGCTTTGTAATGATACCTTACAAGAGACCTTTCGCATGAAGCGTATTCCAGTTACATTATATTCACTCATTAGCATATTTTTATAAAACCATAGAGACTGCAACGTCACAGTAGCGTTATATTTTCTCTTTATCTATCCCTCTCCTAATGGTTCCTAATTTAGTTAGCTTTTTTGACTGCCACTGCATATTGAGCAGATGTTATCAGAGAACTATCCACAGTGGCTCCAAGATCTATTTCTTGAGTGGTAACAGCTCATTTAGACCCCATCATTTTGTACATATAGTTGGGATTATTTTTTCCAGTGTGCATTACTTTGCATTTATCAACACTGAATTTCATCTGCCATTTTGTTGCCCAATTACCCAGTTTGTTTTGGACTTATCTTGAGTAATGTAGTATTGTCTGCACATTTTGCCACCTCACTCCCTTTTCTGGATCATTTATGAATATGTTGAGTAGCATATCCCAGTACAGAACATGGGTGCACCTGCTATTTACTTCTTTCCATTGTGAAAACTAACCATTTATTCCTACTCTTTGTTTCCTATTGTTTAACCAGTTACTGATCCTTCTTATCCCATGACTGATTAGTTTGTTGAAGAGCTTTTGGTGAGCGACCTTGTCAAAGGCTTTCTGAAAGTCCAAGTACATTCTATCCACTGGATCATCCTTGTCCATGTTTGTTGACCTCAAAGAATTCTAATAGATTGGCGAGGCGTGATTTCCCTTTACAAAAGCCATGTTAACTCTTCCCCAACATATCGTGTTTATCTAGGTGTCTGAGAATTCTCTTCTTTACTGTAC